TGGGGAAGTCGATCGAGCGCGAAGAATCTACCGCAGTGCTGTGGTGAGCCAATAGAGCGCATCCAGATGTCGTCGTAGATCTTACGTGCAGAGACCTGGTTGACGAGTGGATCGTGCAGACTTGAAATAAGTCCCGTTGCATACCTGCTAAAATATCTTTCGCAATCTCTACGGGGTAGCTCCTAGTCAATCACATCATCCCTCAACTCAAACACGGCCTTCAGCACCTCGTCCGCCTTCGCCGATACCGCATTATGATACATCGCATTCGTGACATACGTCTTACACCCCCTAATCGTCCGTGCCGTCTCCATACTCAGGTCAAAATCCACATACATGTCGTCAAAATACGCCGCTGCGTATACCGGTACCTCGTTCCTCTGCAACTGCTCGACATCGTACAGCTTCCCCCACGTCGTCTGGGCAAGCAGCTCCCCGACAGCTTTCAGCTTCTTAAGCTCCGGGTACACGTCGAACATGAAGGGGTAGATCATCTCGCCGGTGAAGAAGACAGGCGCGGCGGGGGAGACCATGCGGGTGTTGTGGTCGAAGAAGGGGAAGCGGTTGAGGAGGCGATGGGCGGACCAGGCGGTTGGCGGACCTTGGGCGTAGCACGCTTCGTGGAGGAGCGCGTAGAGGACGTTTGTGTCCCAGGATTGGGAGCGCTCGATGTGCAGGACTGTGGGGCGCGTGAGGTGGCCGAAGAGGGTGAGGTCGTTGTTGGCGCGGAGGACGAGGTCGTGGACGGTGTCGAAACGGCCTGGAAACAGTTAGTGATGTGTGTTACTCCACAAGCAGTTCCTCGACGGTGTTTGAAAGCCTTGCGTTGTCCCAGAATATGTGATGTACTGGCGGAGTGTTTTGGAGGACGTACCGTGCGCGCCAAAATTGATACCCAGCTGGAGAAAGCGTGCAGCGCTCAAATGCCCCTCCCCTCCCTGCACCCTCACCGTCTCATCCCCAAACCTCCCGAGAAACTTAACAATCTTCCTCACCCTCTCCACATCCTCAGGGTACTTGGCGTAGTACTCCTGATTCCTCCTCTCCACCCTCGGATACACGCGCTCATACACCTCATCCGGTCCATCCCTCAGCGGCGGCAGCCCGCCGAACAAAAACGCCTCCTTGACCCCCTCAGGGTAAAAGCTCAGATATGTAGTACAGCAGAACCCGCCAAAGCTCTGGCCCATAATACTCCACTTCTTCTTCTCCTCGGGGTAGTCCGTGGTGAGCGCTTTCCGGATCGCCTCGGCGTCCTTGACGATGCTGTCTGCGCGGAAGCTCTTCAGGTACTCGGCCTGGACGGTCTCGTCCCCGCGGAGCTGCAGCGAGGACTGCGAGATGGCGGTCGAGAGGCCGGTGCCGCGCTGGTCCATGGCGAGGATCTGGTAGCCTTTGTCCAGGAGGAAGGAGGACCAGGCGCTATTTTGCGGGGAGGCGCATTCGAAGCCCGGTCCGCCTTGGAGGTAGAGAAGCCATGGGAGTTGGGTTTTGGAGGGGTCGGCGTCGCTGGTGGGTGAGTGGTCGGCGGGCTTGGTGATTTTTCGCGCGGAGCGCGCGAAGAGTTGGATGGTGCCTAGGGAGGGGTTGGAGTGGTCGCGGGGGACTTGGAAGAAGTGCTCTGTTATGCGGAGTTTGCCTGTAGCTTGTTAGTATGCAAAGGTAGGAATTCTTTGCATATTTGTCTTTTCGGTTATGTTTAGGGGGTAACAAAGATTGTTGAATATATCAGAAAGCAAGATGTAGATGTGTCTCACCCGGTACAAGATGGCTCCGTTGCTCGAGGATTTTGGCGGCTTGTATCATGATGACTGTTTGTTGCTCACGCGCAATTAGAGTTTGACTGCGTTCGCAATGCCTACATGGAACAACAACTTGTATTCAAGCTTTACTCGCAGTGCTGAGGAGCGCTCGTATCGTAGTAGGACTACTGGGGGCATGTGGCGTGGTGTTTATTGGCCCCACCGAGGTATTGATAAGCTAATCGCTCCCTATCACGACTCAAAAAGAGCACGCTCCAAACTAATTCGCGGGGCTGCATAAACTGCATGCACAAATCTGACTGCTCCACTACGCGTGGTCACAACGTTGGCTACTAACAAACAGGGAAATTCGATTATCAACTTCGGAGCTCTATAGATACGTTCTTTCCCCTTTACCTTGGTTGAGAACTAGCGAGATTGAATTTTCCACGAAAGCTGACCCGCGTGTGGCGACTTCCCCGCGACATTTGGAAATCCAAGAGTGGAAGCTTTCTGAAATCCTACCTGGCTCAACACCATGACTAAAGATAAGAAGAAGGCCGGCGATAAGAAAGCTGTCAAAGCGGCGAAAGCAGCAAAGCAAGAGAAGAAAGCGGGCAAGAAAGATATAAAGCAGACGACCAAAAACAAGGATGTAGATTCAGACGCCGAGTCTGTGGATCTCGATGAAGTCCTCGCACAATATGCAAAAGAGCAGGAACAATACCTTTCGATTACAGAAGAGCCATGCGAACCACCAAAAGCCAGAACCTCTGGGACGATAATAGGCAACCCAGCAAACGATAATGAGCTCTTCCTGTACGGTGGTGAATACTTCAACGGCGCCACAGTCAATTTCTACAACGATCTCTTTGTGTACAACATCAAGAAAGACCTCTGGAGCAAGGTCACATCGCCAAATTCTCCTCTCCCCCGCTCAGGGCATGCGTGGTGCAGGGCGGCAAACACGAAAGAGATATACCTGTTTGGTGGAGAATTTAGCTCTCCCAAACAGGGTACATTCTACCACTACAACGACTTCTGGAAGCTGGATCCGACGAGCCGCGAATGGACGCGTATCGAGAGCAAAGGCAAGGCCTCGAGCCCACCTGCGAGAAGTGGGCATCGGATGGTCGGCTTCAAACAGTACATCATCTTGTTTGGTGGCTTCCAAGACACGTCTGCAACCACCAAATATCTTAATGATATCTGGATATTCGATTGCGTCAACTTCGTTTGGCATACACCGAAGTTACCGTCTGCACGCGCAGTCCCCGACGCGCGCTCAAGTTTTACGTTGCTCCCGCATGAGCAGGGTGCCGTTATCTATGGAGGTTATTCGCGTGTCAGGGCTGCAACTGGTGGCAAACAGCAGCAACTCAAGGGCAAGAAGCAGCAGAGTGGTGGAGGTGGAGCAACGCGTATGGTCTTGAAGCCCAAAGTTCATGATGATACCTGGTTCATCCGCATTATACCCCCGCCCGCGGATCAGCCTTCCACCACACTACCGACGGTATCGTGGGAACGTCGCAAACGGCCTGCCAACCCGCCGAACCCGTCCCGGGCTGGCGCAACAATGGCCTTCCACAAGGGTCGCGGTATCATGTTTGGTGGCGTCCACGATGTGGAGGAAAGCGAAGAGGGCATTGATTCAGAGTTTTTCAACCAGCTCTTCGTCTGGAACATCGAGCGCAACCGCTACATGCCTCTCAACTTGCGCCGTCCCAAGGCGAATGCGAACAAGAAAGCCGCTCAACAAGCTAACGTTAGCCGCCGTGATCGTGCGAGGGCCGATGAGGAAGAACTTCTTGCCAACCTCAAAGCGTTAGAGATGAAGGTCGGAGGCGCCGCAGAGCCCGCTTCCGACGATGAAGTAGAGAAGGAGAAAGAGCAAGACGAGGAAGAGGATACCCGCCCGGAAAAGCCGCGGCTCTACGAGTTCCCACATCCTCGTTTCAACGCTGCGCTCACAGTGCAAGGTGATACGCTCTACATCTATGGTGGCACATTTGAGAAGGGCGACCGAGAGTTCACTTTTGACGAGCTCTGGTCGCTCAATCTGAATCATCTAGACGGCGTCGTTGAAATCTTCAAGCGCGAGCTGGAAGACTGGCAAGGCAGCGAAGACGAAGCGGACTCCGAGGAAGAAGACGAGGACTCCGACGAGGAAGATGAAGATGACGGTACCTCAACAGCTCCTACCAGTGTCGCCGACTCGCCCGTGGCTGCTCCCACCAAGGAAGTACCGGAAGAAGACATGGGCACCACCGAAGAGATCTCCGCGCTCACGGATAAACTGCCTCATCCGCGACCTTTTGAATCTCGCCGCGCTTTCTACGAGCGCACTTCTGAGGCCTGGCAGAACGTTATATTGGATGAGATGAACTACGGGGCTGCGGGGCAGATGAAGACGCCCAAGGAGATCAAAAAGGCGGCGTTTGATCGTGCAGAGGAGAAGTGGTGGGATTGTAGAGAGGAGATTCGTTCGCTGGAGGATGAGCAGGAGGCTGCGGGTATTGGAGAGGTTGTTAGTCTGGCGGACAAAGAGAGTGGTGGGGCTGGAGGAGGTGTAGGGAGGCGGAGATAGATGATCCTTTGGTTGTTATAGGAGTGAGAAGCACGGTACTGTAGGACGTTTTCATGCCTGATTCAAAAGCGCTATTCTACCAAACACATCATACGGTTTGCATGACCCAGATCAAATCGGCGTGGTATTGCTTAGACAGGTTTCCATGGGGTGTGCTCGTACCGTTCGCCGACAAAAAGCAGCGAGCTCAATATACGCCCCCATTTGTCAAGGTCCCTTATATAAATTAAAAATCCGATCTTTCCGTGTGCGATATTTATAGAGAATGGAAACGACCAATGTACAACGCAGTAGGTCTAGGGCACCTCACCAATTCGGTTGGGATTCTGGACCACACACTGTGAGAGCTAGTGATCCATACGCATAAGGAAGAAATTGAGAATTGTACTTGTTGTTGTATTGGGTGAAGCTACGAACAGTAGGTATACATGAGTGGCTGTAAACAGCGCTAGTGTAGGATGGGTAGTCGCATCTCAACACAGGTGAGGCGCCACTGCAAGTGGGGAAAGGGAGACTCCAAACCGTGACACACACCATAGTGGGGCTTGCATGAAAATTCTTTCCGCACCACCAATACCTCAATCCCCCGCTCTTTACCACTCTTTACTACCCTTTACCTCTCCTACATATATTCTAGCTCCTCAAATTTTTCCATCAAAAACATGATCAACGGTGAGATGGCCGAGTTGGTTATGGCGCCAGGTTAAGGTTTTGCGGGCTCCGGCCTTGCTTCTTAACATAATTCCTGGTCACGTTTCGTGGCGTGGGTTCGAGTCCCACTCTCATCAAATCGTCTGCTCTTGTAGCAGGTTCCCCAGGAAGGAACATCTTGATCATCTCTTTTCCGCATCGGTGGTTTAGTGGTAAAATTAGCCGTTGCCATGAGTTTCGGCTAGCCCCGGGTTCGATTGTGAGTATCTTCTAAATAAGTTGCGCTGAACGTTGTCTAATTTGTACTAGCCCGGCCGATGCATTACACAGCATTTACTTTTTGCAGGTGGGTGGAGTGGGTGGAGTGGTTGGGGTGGGAGAAGGGGTGTAGGTCGCGGGAGTGTGTGCGCGTGGTTCGAGGCTAGCGAGAGTGGGTATACACTTTATTAAGTGGAATTCTACTCTGCGCTGCATTCTCTCTACTCATAAGCTTTACAGAGATTAAATAACGTGTACCAGGTTTATGTTTGTGGGTTTGGCGCTGTGGTGGACGACGCTAAACTCTAGCCCTGCCAATATTAATCTTGCAGTAGCTTCTATATTAAATTTACACTTGTTCAATGACTTTGATATGTTTTTTAAGACTCATCATCGTAGTGTAGCTGTACGAACCCTGGTTGAGTGAGCCGATACCAACGGTAAGTGTGGATGGAGCATGACCGTTTCCAGAGTTGTCAACAATCAAGCGATAGGCAGAATGATTACTGGATCAGGTCTAACACGGACCTCTCTGTAGTCTTTTGGCGCTTAGTTGGGCAATCAATCTGGAGATCGCTTGATTGTTGACAACTGTGACCGTTTCTTTCCCCCAGGATGTCACTCCGCTACCACGGTCTACACATCGTTGTGAACCGTTGAGAAGAACACCATGTTTCGGTTCATCCCATAACTACCAGTCCCTCTTCGCCCTGCGTCTCCTTCCCTCCATCACAGCAACACTACACTTTCAAAGCACATCAAATCCCACCAGGCTGCACTTTCAAGGTCCATATACCAAGAGCTCCGCGAAACCACATACCAAAAGTTCCGCAACACAACAAAGAACACCACAAAACCAAAATGAAGACTTCCTCCGCTATCGTCGCCAGTCTTCTCAGCGCCGCCTCTCTCGCCGCACCCATAATCAGCTCAACACCAAACCCCACAGAAATCTCGGCCATAGCCCAAGAATCTACGGCCACCCATCTTGCTCGAAGCTACCACTGCTCCTCGTTTACCGCCGCAGACCTCGCGTGGCTCAAGACACATCCGACGCTGTCGTCTGTGCTCGTGGAGGCCTGCAAAATAGGCGCTTTGTACGCGCCGCCGAATCTAGAAAACCCCGGTATGGGCAACTGCCGCGAGGGCATGATCGGATGCAAGCGCTCACCCTCACCCGCGCTTTCAAAGTGGTACAGCTGCGACTCTTTCACGACGAAGGAGCTCGCGTGGATCAAATCGCACCCAGCACTAGCCTCTGTACTCGAGGACTGCAAAAGCGGCGCCCTCTACGCGCCTCTCAATCCCAACGCGCCCGGCATGGGCGACTGCCGCGAGGGCATGAGCGGGTGCAGCGCTCGTCCCTCCCCTCTTCGCCTTCGCAGCGGTACAGCTGCTCCTCCTTCACATCTGAGGAGCTCTTGTGGGTCCAGTCTCGCCTAACCCTCTCCTCCATCCTCCAACACTGCAAGACCGGTGCACCCCTCTACAAACGTCCCAACCCCGACGCGCCTGTCGCCTGCCGCTCAGGCGAGATCGGGTGCGAGCGCTCGCCCTCGGTCTCTCCGCCTTCAAAGCTATAATGAGGGAGAGTTTGCTGAGTATGTAGTATAATCCACTGTCATGTTTCTCCAAATCCTTCAGTGCTTAGTCCCAATCGTGAAGGTGCAAGGTTGGCCAAAACGGTTCTATTTAGTGATGTCTTAGTCCCGCGTGTTACCTCAGGACTGTCAATACAGTGGCTAATTCTATCTACTTTACACCCGGCCGTTGGGAAGCGTGGGCGGCCCTCCGACTGTAAATAACGATGAAGAAGGTAGATGTCCCCGTGCAGGCGCAAGGCCGGCAACAACAGTTATATTCAGTGCTGTCTTAGTCCTCTGTGTTACGCCAGGATTACCAATACAGTAGCTGGCCATATGTTCTTGTGAAAAACTATGTAGAAGGCGGATCTCTCCCGTACGTGTAGCCCTCCTAATTATACGTCTGGGGAATGGATTTGTGAATCTCGCGAACATGTCGCTTCACGTTCTTGTCGGAGGGAAAACTTGTCCCGCACGTAGGGCATTGGAATGTATTCGGTGTCGCCGCCAGGGTCTGGATCTTGGTGGGGTTGCAAATTTGTTCATGGTTCTTCAATTCGTAAAAAATGACAAACTGCTTGGTGCACCTGATGTACGCGTTCAATCACGGGCCGGTAAACAGCTTGGGCTCGTCCTTCCCGTCTGTTCCAACGCGGATCCCTAGCCTGTATCCTCTTCGTGTTGTATACGAAGAAGCTGGTAGTCGCAAACTTACGGACAACAGATGTAGCGTCGAGGATGAAGAGCTCAGCGCATGCGACAGTCGGTATTACTGACCGTACTTTACGGTCCGTAATTGGTTTTGGGCCGTACGTAGCGTAGTGAGGTGCCCACCGTACTAGGCACCGTACCGTACCAACTTTTGACCCGTAATACGGCTGTACGGAACCTTTTCTGGCTAGGATGGGTGAATTGAGCATTCGGGGGGCGGCGCGGCCGGAGGAGGCGCCAGAGGTGGCTAGATCCGGCAGATCTGCCCGCATCGGGCGCAGAATGCGTAAAATGTCTCCACACAGATCACCTCTCTGTGCCAGCAAATTTATGCGACTGCAAGCGCTGTTTCTCCTCTACTAAACGTACAATCACGTGCAATTGCAATTTATTAGCTCTAAAGACTATTAAGGCCTACTAGCTATAAAAGAACTAGCTAAGAGAAGGCGCCGTGCCTAGCTACCTTATAAAGTTAACTGCTTATATAAATAATAAGGAGAGAGACGCTAACGTTAATAATAATAATAACGTTCTAGAATTCTTAAAAACACTAAAGGATGTTAAGTCCCTACGGGTAGCTAGTCCAAAATAGGGTTAAGTTTGGTTCTCTAGCAGGAGCGATGTCGAAGACAGGAAAGGGTGTATTAATAGCTCGCGCTTATTAATAGGGTATTAGTATTAAAGTAAGGTGCGTTACAATTAAATTAACAAGAGCCTAAGTAAATCTAAACGATAGATTAATAAACAGGTTGAACACGAGGTGGAAGAGTCCATCCTCATGTTCCTATATACTTAGCATGCTTGACTTGCTCGCTTCGAGCATGTCGAGCGCAGCCTTGGCTTTCTGCATATGCTTGACTTGCTCGACTCGAGCGGAGCGAGCACAGCCTTGGCTTCCTGCACCTGCTCGACTTGCTCGCTTCGAGCGCTTCGAGCGCTTCGAGCAGTCACGTGACTTGCCATTGCTGTGCCACCATTGGCTCCCATAAGACCTTGGCCGTCTCAGAATGTTAGCCTGGTAATGCTAAATACAGATCCTAACATCATCCTCTTTCTCTGGTGATTTGTCCTTAAATCACATAACCTATCTTATAAAATAGATAAAGTTTAGTTGCCCCGCTTCTTAGTGCGTTTTACTATAATATCTTCCGCTAAAGCCCGCGCTATCCGTCTTAGCATTAAAACTTACTATAATAGTATTATCTATTCTATCTCTTATAATTATTACTTACTTTCTAGCTTTAAGTGTATTGTTATGCCGTCGTCTAATCCTAACGCCTATCTAAAGTGTTCTAAGTGTATTCGTGCGCAAAAGCCTTGCGTAAACTTATTATAGGCGTTATTAGACAAGACTCGTAATAAGTATAAAAAGAAGGTGGATGCGGATAAGAAATTATTAGTAGAAGTATTAATACAACTTCTACGGAATAAGAAAATATTACAGCAGGCTAAAGAGCGTGCTAAGAAGAAGGCGCAATGCCTTATATCCAAAATGGATACTACTAGAGAGTTAGAAGCAGAGGCGGCATTAGAGGACTATCCTGTCGTGGCAGCCACTATTGGCTTTTCTCCCTTAATATAGTCGACACTAGGGTTACTAGATAATTACTCTAGTATCTTGCCTACAATCGCGAACGGTTCTTAGGTATATTCCTATAGTATTATTAAAGTAACTATTTATAGTTTGCTAAGTTCTCTTTAGGTTCCTATGTATTTTCGCTATATAGGTATTCCTTCTACTTAATAAGGTACGTGCGTGGCTAATCCGTGTGTTATAGTATTTATTTAACTTCGAATTTATTTTCTTCCTCTAGTTAGTAATAGAAGGTGGTTTCGACTGGTGTCTCTAGGTCGGCTAGTTCTAATCGGTCTATATGGAATACCTGGTGTATCTTGGCGTCTGGTGGTAGTTCCAATCGATAGTTAACCGGTGATATTTGTTTGGAAATAAAAAATGGTCTAACCTTAACATAATCTAGTTTCTTATGTTTCCTCTTCTAAGTTTAAAGGTTCTTTATAAGCAGGTATGCTTTATCCCCTTTCTTTAGCTAAGGTGCCGTTTTTCGTTTTCGATTTGTGTAGGAAATAGCTTACTATTAAGCTTTCTTGAGATTCTCTTAGAGTTGTTCGTGTATTATTTTTATTCTTTCTACCAAACTGATGGCTTCTTCTGTCCTGATATTTGTAGGAAATGTTTAGTTAAAGAGATGTAGATATCTTCCGTGGTTTATATAGAACGGTGTGTATCCTGTTGCTGCTGATATCTTGTTGTTGTATGCTAATTGTGCCATAGGTAATAGGGAAATCTAGTTATTTTTCTGGTTGTTGTAGTAGATGCGTAGGTACGTTTTAATTGTCTAATTCGTACGTTCTGTTTGTCCATCCGTTTGTGGATAATAAGCTGTTAATAGCTTCCGTTTTGTTCCGATAAGTGCCATAAGCGTTGTCTAGTAATTTAAGGTAAAGAGCTTGTCTCGATTGCTAATAATTGTCTTTGGTATGCCGTAGTGTCGTATAAGGCAGTCTAGGATAAGAAATGCGAGTTCCTTAGCTATAGTTATCTTTTAGCATAGTAGTAGTTTTAC